CCCCCTTAATTTAATTTTTCATTCTGCTTTATACCTGGAAATAGAGAAGAAAAAAATCATTAAAAGGCATATGATAAAAGAAGTGAGGCTCAGGTGAAGCACTTAAGGAAACAAGGAGCCAAAAAAAAAATTGTAGGAAGGGAATGGACTAGTTAAGTGTTTTTTATTTAGCACTTGCCTGACACAAGATCTGTAAAAGGATGCAGACTATCTAGCCTTAAGTACATCTTGTAGGGCAGAAGAATGTACAATAGATGCCTGTTGCAGAGAAGAGGTAAATTCCTAACTACAAGCCTGATTTGCAAATTATAATAGAATTTGGGGATTCCTCTTTGCCCCATTGAAAACTGATCCCTGCTCTCTACACTACAAAATTAATTCATTATAACAACATCACTGAGAGATATGAATCATCTATACTGCCTGGGCAATGTAGTTCTAATGATCTAAGACACAACTGTAGACAACACTTATTTGGCAGGGGAGCTTCTTCTGCTGACAGCTACCTCTTCTCACAGAAGTGATGTTATTAAGCCAACAGCAGGGTTCTGGCCTTGTCACGTTATTGGATTTTAAAGGGATCACACAGAGTTTTTGTTGTTGTGTCTGTTAATGAGATTAGAGGAATGCTGAAGGATGGAGTCTTGTTTGATTTATAATGTCTTTTGCTTTGCCCAGGATGAGATGCTGTTATTTATGCTTTTCTTTGAAGGTCCTTGTAAAGATTGTTTGTGTGAAAGTGTTATGTATGTGTTGAGATAGAGGTGCGAAGGTTATCCTCAGGGCCAGATGGCCAAGAAAGGAGGGGTGAGGTGTGGGTGAAGTCAGACTTGTTGGTGTCAGAGGAACCATCAGTGCATACAAAGATTGATCAGATTGATGACTCGAAAGTGGAGCGAGCACCCCCAAAAGACAATTGATTACAGGATGAGCTTTTTGGAGATGTTTTGGCAATGATTAACATCAAAAAGATAACCCACCGGACACAAACTGGCACAGTGAAATCCATAAACTTCAACAGAGAAAAGGATTATAAAAGCAAGGTGCTCTGCTATGGAACTTTGGGTCCATCTTGTCACCAACACCAGGAGAGCATCGGATCACGACCAACATAGCCCAGCTCTCCCTCTGTGATTGATCTGGCTGACCACTAGATTGATCAAGACTCTGGATTAGTAACTATAACATCGTCTGGAGGGAATGTGTATATGGCATTTGTGTGAGTGACTGAAAAGCATATGCGACTGTTGTATTCTCAATAAAAGATCTCATGTGCTTTGTTTAAGCATAACAGGTGTTTGCCCCAAGGTATGTACAAAGGGGGCCATGTGAGATGTCAAATAAAACCTTATGTTCTACTGATTTTATGTATGTTACTCATGTACTTGTATGCTATCTGTATGTGGAGTTATATGTACTCTGTGTAGATGCTGGAAGATTCTGTGTCTGAGACAGAGCAATGGGCAAAGAATGTTCAGCCAGTAACTACGCTAATTAGCAAGGCCCCAGGGACAAAGCTCTCTGAGAGCCCGATACACACCTGAGGAATGCATCTGGAAATCTGGATGCCTGCAAACCAGCCAGTATCTGATGACTGCTCACATAGGACACAGGGATAGATCACAGGGCCATGTGACCTGCTCTGGCCAGGAAGATGCCAGGAGAAGTATATAAATAACATATGGTAATCTAAATCTGGCCTTCAATTTTGCTCCTGATTCCAGATGCAGCCTTGCAAAGAACAGCGAGATGGGAAGAATCGTGGGCCCATCCTGACATCGGATGTACACCTGAGACTTTTAAGACAGCAGTTTATAACATCTAGGCTAACACCCTGCATCGAGAACTGGATGATTCGGTGAATGTAATATATTCTCCTTAACCTTACTCTCATGCTTTTCTTTCTTTTATTAATAAACCTTTAGGCTACGTCTACACTGGCAGCTTCTTACGCAAAAAGTCTTCCACAAGGGTGTGTCTACACTGGCATGTGCTTTTGTGCAAAAGATGTGCTTTTGTGCAAGAGCATCTATGGCAGTGTGAAATAGTGACTGTGCAAGAAAGCTCTGATGGCCATTTTAGCCATAGGGGTTTCTTGTGCAAGAAGTTTGTTGCCTGTCTACACTACCCTCGTGCGCAAGAGGGCTTATTCCTCGTGGGGAGAGGAATAACTCTTCCAGAAGAAGCCGTTTTCTGATGCTAGACTGTAAATTTACTTGTGCAAGAATGTGTGTGCAGTGTAGACATAGCCTTAGATTCTAAAGGATTGGCCCAGTGTGATCTTGTGGATAAGATCCAAAGTGTAAATTGACTGGGGATTTGTGGCTGGTTCTTTGGGAATGGAAAGACCCATTCAGGGTAGGTGAGGGATTATAGAACCCAGTGGGTTAGGCCAGGAGCTGATTGGAGCACAGGGAGAGCTGGAGTTTCTGAGGGGTTTTGCTCAGTGAGACTAGTTTGTGACCTGTTTGGGAAGGTCTCCAGTCAGGGGCTGTAAGGAGCCCTGAGTTTGAGCAATTTGCTCTGAGCAGACACCCTCAGCAGTGCACAGGCCTGTTGCTTAAAGCATATTTGTAATGTAGACATACCCTGAGATTTACAATCAAACACAATCTCCTTATAGTACACATTTGAGTCATAGTGAGTGTTGTAAAGTTTCATTTTTGTGTTTGTTCGATAAGCACAAGGATATCCTCTATTCAAACATATAATAAATTCAATTTTGGCAGCTAATCATAGGACCTTAGTCCAATAATTGGCGCTTACAGGCATTAGCACTATTCAAAGCATCTACAAAGGCCTATATTAACAGGAAGTTAACTTGTCAGACATGCCCCAATGCATTAGTGAGTCAGTATGATCTTTAACCACACATTACATAGTAGTAGGAAACACTCTACAAAGGGATACAGTCAATAACTAAAACCCTTCTGAGAAACAGGTGTCAAAGTGCATTTTGGTGGCTATTCTTAATTGACTGCATGTGCCCTCATTCATTAGTACTCTCTGTAACTAAATATTTCAACAATATTTAATTAACATTTCTACTCCATTAGCATTTTCACCAATTGTATCTTGGTCTAGTGTTTGTCTAGTAATGCTCATACTTTAAAAGGGCTACTCCAGGCATTTGATTGTTTTGAGCATATTATATTCCTGAAAAAAGATAGCAATCTACTTTTCTACTGTCATACATTAATGCTATGAGACAGTTTTGGGCTGTAAAGTCAGTTTCCATGTAAGCTACTTTGAAAGAGTTATTCAGCAATACTTAATCTTGTTTTGCTCCTAATCAGAACTGTCCCACTTTAGGACTATTCATGTTTAAGTGACTGTCAAGTTATTTCCAAGGGAGCAAGAAATAGGAAGAGGGGAAACCGGGACATGCTGCATTCCAGATCAGAGTTAAAATTGTGGGGCTATTTTGCAAAACAAAAACATTTTGTAACAAACTATAACTACAGTAAAACTCCGATGGTCCGGCATCTGACAGTCCGGCACTCCTGATGGTCTGGCACCATCAGGAACCCAGAAATGCTCCGGGCAGCCGGACCATTGGAGCTGCTCTGCCCCCAGCTTCCCCGATTCAGCCGCTGCTAAAACTGACCAGCAGCTGAATCGGGAAAGCCAGGGGCAGAGCTCCTCCGGGCTGCCATGGGCGGCTGGGAATCTCCAAACCCCC